AGTTCAAAGCTAAGGTGGCTTGATGCGGAGATGCAGTTCCAGGGGAAAGGGCTTGGTGGCGCCACTCTCGCTGCTCGTGTGTGTGTGTGTGTGTGTGTGTGTGTGTGTGTGTGTGTGTGTGTGTGTGTGTGTGTGTGAGATGCCTTTATATGGGACTCACTGCAAAACAAAGGCTGAATGCTATTTTTGCTTTTCGCCTTTTTTGTAAAAATGAAAATCCTCTTCGGATTTCTTTCGGTTAAGGAAAACAGGTACTCTTGTAGGTCTTTTGTAGAAGTGGAGTCCCTTTTCACTGTTTATAAGCATTTTCATTGTTTATAAGTTTGAATGTGGATGTTTGCTCTTAGCCCATCCTTGGCTAAAATAATGTTCCATTTCGTATGTTTTTTATTGAGTCTGTGCTTAGGTAAGCCAGAAGCAATGACCAGTGCAACTCCCACGATGCTCATAGAACAGACCTCTCCTTCCCACTGGCCCCTTCCTAGCTTCTAGATGGCATTACTTTTGGTTAGAGTGTCACCAAAGATCCCAAGACCTGGAACCACAGGTCCTGTCCCCTGCTGTTATCTGGTTTGCAAAATTGCACATTGTTTCTCTTACAGCGAGCTTCCTAATAGAGTTGCTCTTAGAGTTGCTGTACTATTTTTACTCATTCACTCCCTGGCAGGTTCAGGGTCCAGTACGATGGTCGGTGCCCTGGAATCAGCTCGCTCCTGGCTGGTTGCTCACAGTGCAGCCTGGTGGGCCTGTCTCCTGGGGGCTGACTGTGTGAGTTGAGCCAGTGGTGTGGGAGGCCTTGGCCTGGGAGCCTGCTGCTGGGGGCCCTACCTAGTGATGGCCCTCCTTATCCCTTTGAAGCTCCCGGACACACCAGGCACCGCTCTGCTGGCGTTTGTCCTGGTGGTGTCAGAGGCACGGGTCCCACTGGGCTCTTCAACACAGTACTCCCCACATCCAGGATATAGCCTTCTCTTTTCTCTGCTTACTACTTTTCTGTCCTTAGCATGCAGCTGGAAAAAGCAGATGAACTACCCCCAAGAAATGCTGGACAGTATCCCCAGCCTTTCCAGATACCTAGCTCACCTAGGGGACAAATGCATCTCCTCCCTACCCACCGCCCCCAGGATTAAGGAAACTGGCTCTGTAAGTACCCTGACCAGAACACACCAACCTACTCTGACACTTCTGATCACCAACTCTCTAGTGGTGATCTGATAGACATTTCTTCCTGATTTCCATACCAGCAGTGGCCACAGAGGCAAAGGCAAATACCAGTGGCCATTTGGCTATGGCATCCATGCCCCCTACATCTGAGGAGTTACATTTCTAGACTTCAGGCCATATGGTCTTGATGTTCTTCTCTAGGTGGTTCTGGACCTTGGTGATGGATACATGGAAGATACCATCAGTAAATGGGATCCTTCTAAGGGGCAGTAGGCCCAACTTACAAGTCTGTTACCCAAAATGAGGCAGTTCCTTAGTAATTTACCTTAGTTGTTTTAAAAGACTTTGTACTTTGTTTTCACATTTCCACAGCTGGTAAAGTTTCAGATAATTCTTATCCCAAATGTATCATCCGTATCCCTAACCTTATAAAGATAGCAGTACCAACCCTCTCCCTGCCACTTCGAGCTTCCTCTATTCTGAATTGCTTACACTTCTCCCAGAGTACACTATGCTTTCTTCTACTTGGTGCCTCTGCACATCCTATCCTTCTGCCTAGAACGTCCTAGCCTGGCTTGTCTGACTGGCAAACTCCCAAGTCTCTTTAACATCACAGCTCTTTTGAGGCCAGTCACCACTTAAGTAGAGCTCATCACTCCCTCCTGTGTGCCACCATTGTGCCTCCTACATGCCTTGATTTCTGCCCCATCACATCATTAAGGGTCTTGCCTCTCCTACTGGATTGTGATTCTTAATAACCACTACTAGAGCCAGGGATTATTTATTTAAATGTGCAGCCCCAGTACGAATAGTGTCAAAAATATGTTAGGTGCTTACAGTTTATTGCTTCATTGAATAAAAGAATGAGGTCCTAACAGATTACCCGACTGAAGCCTCACCCACGACATCTGATGATTCATCCTATCCCCTAGGCCCAGCACACACTGAATTCTTTGTAAATGTTCCTGGGATAAAGAGATTAAATGAGTGAATATGTTTTGAAACCAGCAATTTTCTTGTTCATTTCCAATTTTCTCTGTGATCAGTACTTTTCTCAGTGAAGAATCGACTTCCTTCCACAAGACTCCATTCTGAATTCCCCAAAGTTTCTTTCTTTCTCATCCTGCTACATCCTGCCTACTTGTCATTTGAAGCTGGATTTTATAAATATTCAGAACAGATGGAGTTTTTACAATGGGCAAGAACCAAAGACCAGACTCTTACTAACTGAATGGAGCCCCCTGAGGAGGTTACTGTTAACAGCAACACAACTCTGATCTGGTTATGAGTCATGACGATTAAACATGATAGTATTAGTGAAAGGGTTTTATACAGAGATTAATGTAGTATAATTGATAATGATGCATTAGAATAATAGAGTTTGAGGGTAATAGCTACTACAATTCACCCAGTTTATTCTCCTTGAAAGTTCAGGGAGTGCATTTGTACATTTTTCTATTTGACATTAATACAGGTTGAGGCCGTCAATATTTAATAAAATGAGAGAAATCCGAGCAATTGTAAATACTAATTTAGAGGTCAGCAAGAATATAATTTTGAAAGGTGTACCATTTATAATTAAAATAGCTAAAGATATTAGACTAAATGCAAATTTTCCTCAAGGTAAGAAACCAAAAGATAAAAAATTGAAATTGTACTTATCGTGTCATAAAACAACATATTAGGAAAAGTTCTCTAAACAAGCAGTTTTTCTTTGATTAAAGTTAATGATTCATTGTGTCCCTTTGTTTACAAAAAAGGTCAGTGTTCCTTTTCCTCATATTTAATGTGGAAATTAATATTTCTAATTTGGATTTCACAAACTATGACTTCCAGTAGTTAGCATTTTTCTTATTCATGAAAAAGCAGGAGAGTATTTAGCTTCTGTTGAAGTAATGTAAGAATAATTTGAGCGAAAGCTGGGTCCCGTTATATTAAAATTGAATTTTTGGCTTCACATTTTTCATCTAAACATCAGTTGTATGGAACACTCATTAATAAAAGGAAGACAGTATGAAAATAATTGTTTGAAAGGGAAGGAAGGAAAAGAGGTGTGATGTTTCTTAAAAGCCAAGGTAACACAGAGCAGAGTGAGATTAAACTGAGTCAGAAAATGAGTTCTAGCTTCAACTCTGCTGCTAAGTAATCCCTTTTCTTTTAGTTAATTCTGAACACTGAATATGTTTCCCCACGTGAATTTGAATGTGATCGTCTCTGATGACAAGCAAGGGGGAATATCTCTTGCTGGGACCAGATCAGGTCATCACTCTTCTTTGTAAAGGTTTATTATTGGATTGATTGTTTCACTGTTTCTACTTTATTGGGAGAGGGCACCAAGAGGATTTTTTAGAGGGACATATTACTAGGCACAGTTCTACTCTTTGCCACCAGTTCCCTCTGCCAACACCCTCAGTCCTTGATGCCCCTGTAGGAGCCCTGGAGACTCTTGAGAGGACCACACTGTAACTCTGAAACACTCATTTTGGGGCATTTGTATTTAGCTGAGGGTGATCTTGCTGGGAGGTTGCTATGACAATTTGCAAACAGTAGAGGCGACGGTCCCCATTCTGATTTGAGTCTGCACTAGCTCAGGCCTGCACACTTGGTCCAGCCAGGGGCGGCAGATACACAGGACAGATCATAACGGACCCAGGTTCGCAGGAGAACTTCAGAAACCAGGCACGTCTGGAGAAGAAAGTGCAAGGCAAACTTTCGGTTCTGTCATCCGGAATTGCCGGGCTTCCCCCCCGCCCCCCACTCCCGTTGAAGTCACAAAACCTGTGACCTTTGGACAAAGGCATGTGCCACAGACGACAGGACGCGGGTGTGAGATGGGCAAGTAGTTTTTCAGTCTGCAAGGGAAAGGGAGGCTGTATATGGCAAATTCAAAGGACAGGGAAATTCTCCGTGTCTTGGATGGGAAGGGGAAAGAGACTTGTGTCTGGGGAGGAGATGTCGCTCGGGAAGGTGTACCTCTCCCAGTGGCCGCGCAGGGGAAAGGCTCGGAGTTGTAAGGAAATGGGAGGCGTCTGTGATGTTTATTTTTGCCTAGCAACCCACAGCCAACTGCTTCCCCGGCAACCATCCACACGCGCCTCTCTGCATCCCCTGTCCTAGAGACTGTCCTAGAGAGCGGTCACTTGGTGTCAGTAAATCGAGGAGGGGCTGTGTGTGGTGGAGGTGGAGGTGGGAGGGCAGCCCCCTCCTTGGCCCACACTCGGGGTCCCCAGGCTAAAGCGCGGCCCTCCAACGGGCTGGACTTTCCTTACCGAGGTGACCCCCGGCACAACTAAGTTATTTACCTGATCAATTGGGGAGAGGAGGTGCTTAAGCCACTGGGACCCGGAAGGCGGGGGGGGGCAGTATTGTCTGTGAGCAGCCATCAGGTTCGGAAAGCTGAAAATGCATATATGGTTGGGGGTGCGCTCGGAAGGGGAGGGGGGTCTCTGCAGCGATTTCGGTGGGAGGGAAGCAATGCGCTGCAGGGAAGGGGTGGGGTGCTGCAGGGGCGGGCGAGGCCGGGGAGGGGAGAAGGCCGTTAGCAGGGGGAACCGTGCAGAAGGCCGGAGGGGGAGGCCAAGGGCGAGCGGAGGCTGCAGAGTTTTCGGGGGAGTGGAGGGGTGGCTATGCCGACGACTGGGGTGCGTGCTGGGGAGGAGGAGTGGGTGGGAGGGACTCCGGTGGGCGGCTGGGTCGGGGAGGGTGTGCGCGGGAGTCTGTGGCCGCGCCTGGGGTGGGGTGGGGAGTCCGGGGGCGGGGCCTGCCCGGCGGCTGAGGGAGCGTGGGCGGGGCAGCCCTTCCCGGCCGCGCGGTGCGCGGGCGCCTGGCGAGTGTGCGCGGGGGCGCGCGTGCGCGGGCCCGGGAGGAGGCTCCCGAACCAGTCGGCCGAGGCGGCGCAGCCAGCTCCCCCGCGCCCTATGTGAGGGAATCGGGGAGGCCCGTGGCGCGCCGGGGAGGGCGAGGCATGTGCACGGGCCGGAGGGTGCTGCGGCCGGCCGAGGAAGAGGAGGACGGCGGCGGCGGCGAGGAGAGCGGGGGGCTCGCGGTGGCGGGCCCGGGCCGAGGGGATGCAGCGGACTGTGTGTGTCTGGCTGTAGCTGACGGGAGGCGGCGAGGAGGCGCCGGAGATCCGCGAGAGGGGCGACCAGGAGGCGCGGCGGTGGCGGCCGCGAGGAGTAGCAGCAGGACGGGCGGCGGCGGCGGCGGCGGAGACGGAGACGGAGACGGCAGCCCTGAGATGCATTTTCCTCTCCAGCGGCCATGTTAACCAGGAAACCTTCGGCCGCCGCTCCCGCCGCCTACCCGACCGGTAAGGAGGCCCGAGCCCCGCGCCGCCCCGGGCGCGCAGCCCCGCGGCCCCCGGGCCAGCCCTCGTGGCGCGGACTCCCGCTACCAGCGGGACCTCGAACAAAGTCTGCGCCGCGGCGGGGCGGCGCGGGGTCCCCCGGGCGGACGGCGCGCTCTCGCCTCGGCTCCGCTCATTGTTACACGCGAGCTCCGAGGCTCCTCCGAGCCGGCCGGGGGCCGTCCCGGGCCTCCCCCGCCCGGGACTTGGCGAGGCGGCGGCGCCCGGGTCGGAATTCCAGCCCAACTCCAGGCCTGCGGCCTCCCGCAACGTGAGCCGCCGGCCCGCGCCCGGCCCGGCTCCACCGCCGGGTCGCGAACTCGCTTGCGCGCCAGGGGCCCGACTTAACTTTGCAGCCGCCTGAGCCCCGCCCCGCGGGAGCGCCGGGTGTCTGCGTCCCCGGCCTCCTGCCGCTCCGGGACGCCCGCGTTCACGGTCCCCGGCTCTGCCCCGGGGAGAGCGGGCTCGGCAGCCTGGAGGGGTGGGGCGGGGCCACCGGGTCCGGGTGACTTTCTCCCCCTTGACCCTCTTTTGTCTCCTCCCGCGCGTGGCTGCCAGGCCGAGGAGGGGACAGCGCCGTTCGCCAGCTTCAGGCTTCCCCGGGGCTCGGTGCGGGGGCTCCCCGGAGCGGAGTGGGGACCGGCCCGCCCTCCCCCATCGCCCTGCCGCCGCTCCGGGCCAGCAACGCTGCCACCGCAGCCCACACGGTAAGACCCAGGCCGCGGGCGGCGGGGGTAGGGGGGCGGGAGGGATCCGGGGCACAGGCACCCGGACTTGGGGGATAATGCGGCCGGGAGAGAGTAGAGAGGTCGAAGTGCGAGTGTCTTCACGCCAGTGGCCTCTCCGGGACGCCGCCCTCTGGAACTTGAGCGAGCCCAAAGCTGCAGCCACAAAGGAGGATTCGTGGCGTGGGCCCCTCACTTCCCCTCCGGAGCCCGCCCACCCCTGCGCTCCTCTTCCTCGGAACTTCCTCCTGGTCGCTTTCCTTCTCTCTTCGCTCCCCCCCACTTTTTATTCCGTGCTTGCTTCCTCGAGCTCCTTTTCCCTGACCCGATAAACATCCCTGCCCCTCCACCACCACGTTGGGTAGTGGGTATTTATAGAAACAGATATGTGTTAGGGGACAGCCAGGCCGTCCTGCCCGGAAAATCGATGCCCCAAAGAGCATCCCGGGCCTGCCTCTACCCAGCAGGGAGCACCGACAATTGTCCTCCGCGTGTGGAAGCATGTTTTACGAGTGCTACAGGTTTGAGCACAGCAGAAATCGTAATTAACATTAACAAAAATAAGAGCCGCAGCAGCAGTCAAAACAACGCGCCACCCCTGTAGGATTCTGCAGTTGGATATTATTGAAAAGAAAAGAGCCAGCTTTGCCTCCGAAGGAGGTGGGAAGGGATGGGCACCTGACAGGTGCTGTGGTCCCTCAGAGGGCCAAGAGGGAACTGGGAGCTCGGCGCGGGACTGGTGGCTGCAGAGATCAGCAAGCTGGGCTTGATTTCAGTACGTACCTTTTATCGGCTCCCAGAGATAGCCCTTGGATGGTGGCTGACAGCCTAGGGGAGATGTGCCCTGGAGGAGTTGATGGCTTCCAATGTCTTGTTTACGATTCGATCTTCCAGAGGAACTGCCTAAGATGGTTCTGTATGAGGGGTGCTTGCTAAGGATATGGCTTTGGTTGCCAAGTGAAAGTTAAGTTCTTGCAGAAAAGGCCATTTCTAGCCTTCAGAGGAGCAGCTCTGAGGGTCATGTGTTATGGGGAAACTTGTTTATGGGATAAATTTATAAGCGGATGGCTAGAGTGGAATATTTTCTCTTAGACCTGGACATCTGTGCTTCTTACATTTTCTTTCTCTCTCTCCTCCTCTTTCTGTCTCTCCTGACACATCTAGACCCAGGGGCTAAGAATTCACTGCACAGAAGTTAACCAATCTGTTGGGCTGTGGTTAATGGAAGAGCGTCAGTAGGCTGTTGATTCTGTGTGTTAGAGTTGAATGTTCTTGTCACAGTGATGTTTTAGTTGAGAAATTGCCATTGGGTTTAGGTGTTTCAGTTTGGTTTGGAATCATCTGACAATTTGGAAAATATAACATCCAGTTTTTTTCCATGTGTGAATGTAATCACATGAATTGGTATGACCTGGAAAAGAAATACTACTTGGTTTGCATCCGGCTTCCAGTTATATAAGGGTGGGCTTTGCTTGATCAGAGCCTCTTTACAACTGAAATATGTAATGAGATGACAGAAAATGATACTAGAGGAATAGCCTGTGGTGGAGCAGAAATGAGAAGATGTGTGGGTGCTTCTCGGGACTCCTAATGATGGTGCTTGTATTTTGCTGTGGTATCTACCAGATTTACCTGTGTTTAACTTACCTAAACTTCAGTAAACTGTTGATCACTAGAAGCTTGGTTTTGAAAGTGTGAATTTGGGTTTTGGTTGTCCTTTAGTTTTGATTTTATTTGCACAGCATTGCAGACTTCCTCAAACAGGCAAGTAAAAGGACCACAGTTTATCTGGTTCTACTCCTTCATTTTACAGATGAGGAAAGAGTCAGACAAGTGAACTGGTTTGGTCAAGACTCCTGAGCCAACTCCTATCAAGGCTGGAGCTAAAGCCCAGGCCCTCCTGAGTCCAGCTTTAACATACTGCTTGACTGCTAATTCTAGGAAATTGTATTAGTTTTGTTATAAATGCAAGAACCTTAGCAGATCCATGTGTCCATATGTCTTTCAGGTTTTTGTAAGCTTTTAGTTTTTAATTTCACAGCAGTTACAACTAAGAAAAGCTATTTTTGAATGGGTGGGGGGAAGGGCATTACGGAGAGGAAAATAATCTCGTTGTGTTTGCCCATATTTTCTCTTGTAAATGATGCAGTAGGTAGATAAACATATGACTATAGGGATTATAAACTTCGGAATTTATCTAGTGCGTTGCCCTTTTGTACCCTATCTCCATGGATATATTATACTTAGTCATTTTATCTCTGTCCTAAAAGTGTACCCAATAACTATTTTGATTCCTATTAGTTTTTTTTTTCTTTTTAATGTTGTATGGGAGATATTAATGTGCTTATTTTTTAAATTCTGAAATATTAGTATTGTATCACTTTCATAACTGTTTAACATTTAAAGCACTCTCCAATTACCGGTTTTACCTTTATAAGATAATAGGAGTCAAAGAAGAATGAATATTCCCATTTAAAAAAACAGTAATGTTTGATAGAAGAAAAAGACATTTGATTCAGGGCCACACAGACCGTCAGTGTGTTTGAGGAGGAGCTAGAATTCCGATCTTTTTGGACTCAGTTCTATTCCCATAACACTATACAGCATTTCTAAGATGACTTCAGCAAAGTTTTCAAACTCCCAGAAATGTTAGCACAGTGAGGTATGTGCTGTTTTCCCTTTTATTTTTGGAAGAGATTAAAACTACCAAATTGACTAGACTATTGTTCTTAAATAATTTTTAATGCTAAAATGTGTCATGGTCAAAGAGGGCTTTTGGAGGTCTCTCTGCTTCAACCCATACGTTGTAGGTATCTAACAATTACATTCATTCAGTATTTTTAAATTTGAGAGGCACTGTGCTAGGTAGGCATTGGCAAATAGGAAAAAGTGAGTGAGAGGTTTTAAACATTCTTAAGTTTATGGTGTTGTCCTGGCATATGTCTTGTGGAAATGTTTTGGCATTTCTAGAGCTTTTTTCCTCCCTTTTTATAGATCAGTCAATTGCGCTTCCGACCTGGGTTGTGATTGTAGAGTCCCACAGTGTTTAAGACTCAAAATCCTCCTTTACTAGGGCCTCTGAAATGAATCTCCCTAACATCTGGAAAGTTTTTAAGATTCCACATGTCACTTTTAGGTGTTTAGTTGATCTCTTCTGCTACAAGTACTCTTTAATGGGCTGTCATTTGCTTCCAAGTCTCTGCCAATGCAATGCAAGCCTAACATCTTGTGACTTGGGTCACTGGAGACAAGTCCCAATTCCCTGGGTGTTAACTTCATGTTTTCTTATGAAGGTACAAAGGTAGTTCTTAAGAATAACTCAGAGAGGTGAGAGTTAGCTCTTCCACTCAACAGAAATTGACTGAGTACTTCCTGTATGTTGGGTTTATGTCAATAAGGACTTAAAAAGAGAAGAGGTGACCCCACCCTGGAATTGTTCACAGCCAGGTGGGTACATCACGTGTGAAAACAGGTATGTAAAACGAAATAAGTGTTTTAATATATCAGTGCTCTATGAGCACCCTGGAAGGGAAAGGGACCATTTCACAGAAGAGGTGAGAGTTGAACTGCGCGTTGAAGGGTGAGTATGAGTTTACCATGTAGCCCTGGTTAGGAAGGAGATTCCAAGCAGCATTTGGAAAGGGCAATAACTTTAGCTCTCCTTTACTCAGTACTATAGTAAGCACTCTATATCTTTTACCTTATTTAATCCTCCTAATGGCCCTAATGAGGTCGCTTTGTTACCTTCTTTTTACAGATAAGGACACTGAGGTTTAGAGAGATTAAGTAAATTGACCAAGGTGACACAGTAAGTGGTGGAGCTGGGATTCATTTCCCATGCATCTAATTGAAAATCCCTGGACACCTAACCATTATGAAACATAACCTCCCCAAAAACAGAGTGTAAAAGAGCGTGCTGTCTCCATGGGTCTTGGGGAATCCAGCTTGTTCTCAGAGAGAATATGACAGTGGTGGGTGACACTGGAAGGACTCGGGTCATATAGGCTCTGCATTTGAGAACCTCATGTTCTTGCCTGTGAGGTCTCATATTATCTGTGGAAATGGGGTGCCTGTGTGGGCCTTAAGCAAAAGCAAGGGCAGTGTCAGAGTGACACTTTTCAGTGGTAACTCCAGAAGCACCGTGGAGAGAAGAGACTTGAGGAATTCTAGACTTAGAAGCAAGGGGACATGTTAAGAGGCTGCTTCGGTTGTCCCAGTGAGAGACAGCAGGAGTGTGAGGTGAGGCAGCGTGGATGGAGGGGAGTGGGGTAGATAGGAATGACGGGGCTCCGCGGTGACTTGGGAAGGTGTGGGAGATGTGGAGACAGAGTGATTATTCGGGGGTGAAGCCTCTTGTTGACCAGAAATTGAGGGTTGTGGGAGGAGGAAATGGTTTTGGTAGAAAAAGCGTGAGTTGAGTTTGAGTTGCTTGTGGGAAAGGTAGCTGATCTGGAGTTGGATACAGGGGGTCTTGAGCTCGGGAGACATAGATCGGGCTCCTTTTAGCTAGAGGTGTACATGTGGCGGATGTCAGCCCCTGGGGGGTTGCTGGAGCCCTGGCTGTGGTCATAGTCGACCAGGGAGAGCTATGGGAGTGAGAAGCCTCCAGCCACTTGAGGCTTGAACCCTGGGGAACTCTGGAACCCTTCTTTGTTGCTGTTGTGGAGGAGACCAAGAGAAGGTAGTTGGAAAGACAGGAGGTGATCCAGTTAATTGGCAAACTCTCTTTAGTTCTAGTCACTCAGCTTTTTTTTGATGATATTTTGAATTATGCAGAACATTAAAATTGCTCTTGCAAAAATAAGTTGGTTTCTGAAGCTCAGAACATTTTACTTTGTCCTCTTTTTAGGAGTTCCTAAAGCCCCAACGTTAATTTTGTCCCCAGTGAAGCCTCATGCTTTTTGTAGCATGTATGCTGGTAATGTCGGTTTTTCTTCTGAAATCTCTCCAAGCTGCCCTGAAGAGAATGGTTCTCTAGGGGACATATATTTCTAATTTCAGGTCCTTTTATTCCCGGGTGCTTGAAAGACCGTAGTGGAGAGGAGGAGAGGTTCAGAGACTGAGGCTTGGGAACAAAAATCCATGGACAAGCCTGTACCGCTTTTGTATATACCCAGGACTTCCTAATGCCTTTTTATGAACTGCTTTGCTTTTGGCATAGAACGAGGATAAAATAACCTGTCCAGCTACCTGACAGAAGATAAGTTCACTTAGCGTGGAATATCATCTGTGAGTTTAATAAAAGGGTTCAACTAGAAGTCTTCCAGAAATCTGAGAAATAAAATCTCTCAATGAAGTCATACTTCAGAAAGGCCCAAGTACTTTACTATATTCTACTTTGTTTTAGAAGATTGCAGAGAGAAAGTGCATGCCTCAGATAGTCCCTGTGCATGCTGTGTGTCAGTTAAGGAAAATTTGAAGGTCTTGGTCTCCTAGTAAGAAGGACTTGGAATTTCATTTTATAATCTGGGTAGTCCCAAACCACTTCCTGAATTATATTACATATACAGAGCACTTCTATGCATTTAGTGATATGTAAAGCCCGAGAGGTAGGATTTCGGAGGAGTTGATGGGAAAAATACTGATAGTAGAGGACTTCAGCTAGTTGATTGTAAGCTCCTGAAGGGCAGGGACTCTGCCACATGTGTGGTTAGACCTCAGCTAACACTGGCTGAATGAATGAGGTGGATTGTGAGAGGCAAGTTGATCTTTAAGCTTTCATGTAAAAATCATCTAGTGGGATGCTTTTAAGACTTGTGAGTGATTGTCTGAGGCTGGCAAGAATTCCTAACTGGGAGGGGATCCTGGCTGCAAGTCCGCTTCTACCCCTCACCTCTTGGCCATAACAATGCTTGAAAGAAATCCCAAGTAGATTCTCAGTAGGAAGGCTGGGGCCCCTTGGCTTATGCCATCAGTTTTGTTCAGACAGGAATGTTTGTGGATGGCATGTGTGCCTGAAATAGAAATTGCTACTTTGTATTCCTTGTCAGAAAGCTGAGTATCCCAGCAGCCTGGAGAAACACATGTCTTGAGAGAGCCAAGCCATTGACCAAAGGAAGGCCCAAAAGAGGGTGGCGGTTGGATTGTGGGGCTGAATGGCCTTAAATGGTCATCACAGCCAGTGAAGCCCAGAAACTTAAAAATAGGTTTGGGGTTTACAAGATGCTACAGAGTGCATGTCTACATGGGAATCTTTCCAGCCTAAAAGTACAGTTTTCTTTGCTTCTGGATCATGCACTTTCCTAGGTGTAATTAGTTCGATTTTCAGGTAGTGGAGAAGACCAAGAATGAAGACAGTAGTGTTCTCAGAATAGAGCTAAACACTGGAGAAGGAGTAGTAAACAAGACCGGCCTGGGCCCTGCCCTCACGATAACAGAGAAGCTACTAAGTGAAGTGTGAAAAGTGTTATGATCTGGGGGCGGGAGAGCCAGTAGAGTGCCGACGTGTTCATGCTTTTTCTGTATCCTCTTTCATCGTGATATCAAGTATGGGCTGCATGGCACCTCTGTGATATCCCAGGCCCTGTGCTGAATCTTAGGTAGAGAATGACGAGCAAGAAGCATGGTCTCTGCCTCCACTGAGGACTTACTCTAAGAACCCTGAAAACACGTACAGCAAACTCTTTGTTACGTGTAGCAGCTATGGGGGTCTTTTCCTTCCGGATCCCAACTTTGATCGCCTTCCCCAGCCCCCCAACCTCTTCTGCCTTTACTTCTGTCTGAGGCTGTCCACGTCACGTCCGCTCTCCCTGCCGGGGTGTTCGTGAGGTCCCTCCTGTGTGCACAACTCTTTCCATTTAAGAAACCTGATTCTGGCTATAAATTCAAACCAGATTGGATTTTGTAAAGGTGAGGGTGGGCGCCGATTTATAAAATATCCCTTTTGAACAGCCAGACCTCTTCCATTCTCTTGATGTTCCCTTTCTGAATTACAGATTGGCGGCAGTAAGCACACAATGAATGACCACCTACACGTTGGCAGCCACAGCCATGGACAGATCCAGGTTCAGCAGCTGTTTGAGGATAACAGTAACAAGCGGACAGTGCTCACAACACAACCAAATGGGCTTACAACGGTGGGCAAAACGGGGTTGCCGGTGGTGCCGGAGCGGCAGCTGGAGAGCATCCACAGGCGGCAGGGGAGCTCCACCTCTCTGAAGTCTCTGGAAGGCGTGGGGAAGGTGAAAGCCATCCCCATGACACCCGAGCAAGCGATGAAGCAATACATGCAAAAACTAAGCAGCTTCGAACACCATGAGATTTTCAACTACCCTGAAATATACTTCTTGGGTCCAAATGCAAAGAAGCGCCAGGGCATGACAGGCGGGCCAAACAACGGTGGCTACGACGATGACCAGGGATCCTACGTGCAGGTGCCTCACGATCACGTGGCTTACAGGTACGAGGTCCTCAAGGTCATTGGGAAGGGGAGCTTTGGGCAGGTGGTCAAGGCCTATGACCACAAAGTCCACCAGCACGTGGCCCTGAAGATGGTGAGGAACGAGAAGCGTTTCCACCGGCAGGCAGCCGAGGAGATCCGCATCCTGGAGCACCTGCGGAAGCAGGACAAGGACAACACCATGAACGTCATCCACATGCTGGAGAACTTCACCTTCCGCAACCACATCTGCATGACGTTCGAGCTGCTCAGCATGAACCTCTACGAGCTCATCAAGAAGAACAAGTTCCAGGGCTTCAGCCTGCCTTTGGTTCGCAAGTTCGCCCACTCCATCCTGCAGTGCCTGGATGCTTTGCACAAAAACAGGATAATTCACTGTGACTTGAAGCCCGAGAACATTTTACTGAAGCAGCAGGGTAGAAGCGGGATTAAAGTGATTGATTTTGGCTCCAGTTGTTACGAGCATCAGCGGGTCTACACGTACATCCAGTCCCGTTTTTACCGGGCCCCGGAAGTGATCCTCGGCGCCAGGTACGGCATGCCCATCGACATGTGGAGCCTGGGCTGCATCCTAGCGGAGCTCCTGACTGGTTACCCCCTGTTGCCTGGAGAAGATGAAGGGGACCAGCTGGCCTGTATGATTGAACTGTTGGGCATGCCCTCCCAGAAACTGCTGGATGCATCCAAGCGAGCCAAAAATTTTGTGAGCTCCAAGGGTTATCCCCGTTACTGCACTGTCACGACTCTCTCAGACGGCTCCGTGGTTCTCAACGGAGGCCGTTCCCGGAGAGGGAAACTGAGGGGCCCACCGGAGAGCAGAGAGTGGGGGAATGCACTGAAGGGGTGTGACGATCCCCTTTTCCTTGACTTCTTAAAACAGTGTTTAGAATGGGATCCTGCGGTTCGCATGACCCCTGGCCAGGCTTTGCGGCATCCCTGGCTGAGGAGGCGGCTGCCAAAGCCTCCAACGGGGGAGAAGACGTCAGTGAAAAGGATCACCGAGAGCACTGGTGCTATCACATCCATTTCCAAGTTACCTCCACCTTCCAGCTCAGCCTCCAAACTGAGGACTAATTTGGCACAGATGACAGATGCCAATGGGAATATTCAGCAGAGGACAGTGTTGCCAAAACTTGTTAGCTGAGCTCAGTCCCCCCAATGCTGGTAATTCTGAAAGATACGACATTGCTGAGCCTTACTGGGTTGAAAAGGAGTAGCTCAGACCTGTTTTTATTTGCTCAATAACTCGACTCATTTGTATCTTTTTGGCACTTATTTTAATGTAAGAAGGTTGTTTGTTTTGTTTTTATAAAATACATGGGGACAATGCTTTAAGTTTTTATACTTTCTGAAACTTTTTGTGTTCTAAAAGTACGATGAGCCTTACTGCATTTAGTGTGGCAGAGTAATAAACATCAGTGGCAGGCCATTGATTACGTCATGACTGCCGCGCATCTACAGATTGGTGTCAAAGACATTCACTATGTGTTCATGGTTCATAGTATATTCTCCCCAAGGTGATTGCCTCCGAAGGCCCCCCCCTTCTCTCTCCACGCTTCAGGTTCATGCACAGGTGCAGCCTGTCCTGCTTCCGTTTTCCATAAGTTACCCAGGTGGTAGTGATGGTGGGAGGAGAATGGTCAGGATGAAAATGATATTCTAAGAAAAACTGCACCTTAGAGATTTTTCCCTAAAATAGTGCTCAGAGACAAAATAAAATCCCCACAGTTGAAATGCCCAGTTAGCGTTCTGACATTCTAACGGCCGGCCAAGCAGACCTGGTGGATGAATGGAAACGTGTGTTCTTCCAGATTCTCCGATGTGATCAGCGAGCTGTTTTGCAAAGAAGCCTTGTTTAACAAAATTGGTTTTGCACCTAAATTTAGAAATGTATTACATGAACTGTTCCTCCCCTCTCTTTGCTCTTCTCCCTGCTGTTCTTCTTTCACCACACATCTGTTGCTTGCATTTAATTTCTTTTTCTTCCTTCAAATATATATCCCAGACTCCTGATACAGAAGAGAGACATTTTAGCTGTGATTATGACCATCTTTTCATATTCCACTTAAAAAAAAAACAGCCTAGCTACTTAAGGTGGGGATTTCCATAGTTCCAAAGACGGTTTAGCAGATTAGACTGAGTTCACACTTTTCACGTGCCACAGTAAGGTTCTCTTAGCCTGGGAGAGCATCAACTCTTTAAAAAGAGAGAGAGTTGAAAATCCTCTTCGTGAGCAGAAGTCATTGTGCTTGTTCAGCAAGGCCAATTTTAACAACAGATTCGAAGGAGGAAAAGTTCAGCCTCAAGTTAAATGGTTTGATTTACTCTATGCATCATTAGAAGAACCACAGACATTACATTCCTCTGTTTTATTTTACTTTCGTTTGGATTGCACTGATTGTTTTTGTGGGAATGACACTTTACCTGGAAAAGTAACTGAGAGTTAGGTAAAAGAATATTTTCTCCTCTGAATAATAATTATTTTCACAGTGAAAATTTCAGTATTTTATCACTAATGTATGAACAGTGGTATATATCAATTTCAAGGCACGTGGAAAAAATTTTTTAGTATGTGCAATTTAATATAGAAAGATTTCTGCCTGTTTGGACAATAGGTTTTGGGTAGTATAAATTAGGATAAATACTCTTTTATATGCACAGATATTATTGTATTGATTGCCTGTAAATTGATTTACAAGTACTTAAAGCATGGTCCCCAGCGAGGCCAAGAAAGTTTCCGGTTAAGTTCTTTTAATATTAATCCTACAGTTTCTCTTTTAAGAAAAAAAAGGTAGTTTTGAACAAAGCACTTCACTTATCTTGAGGCTTTGTCAGTTGATGGTGGAGAAAAATGCTCAGGAACTATTACAGATATTTGCCAAAAAAATCAGTAATAAGATTAGTTTATTATAAGATAGTGGTGTTGATATTTGCTTTACTATTTAAGGGTGTCACTGATAAATTAATTTATACTTCTGTTTTTAGAAATTATAGCTTCTTTCCCCTAGTCAAATTCTTTAGCCTGTTGTACACATTTCTGTGTAATCTGTGGAAGTGCAATAATGTTAGTAAGTTGCATTTTAAATGATGCTCATGTGATGATACCCCCCAATCAGTGGCTTATAGAATTTAAAGATTGTGTATTTATTATTAAAATTCTGGCTTAAAGGCATAAGAAGCGGTTTTGTAAAACCACAAGCCTCCTAAGATGGTTAGCGTCTTTAAGTCATTAAAATAAACAAAACATTAAGGCTGTTTTCCCCTTCCAGTGTTCCTCTTCCATTGTATCCACTCTTGAGATTTTCACTTTTAGTTTTAAATATATGAACCTGAGCCTGCCATTAATATGAATATCCCTATAAAATGATTATCCATGTGAAAATTTATAAATGGGCTAATACTGCTTGTCTCCTCCCTCACCACACAAAACTGGTCCTTAAGATGCCAACAGTGCATTTGTGACTATCTTTATTCGCAAATGTAACCGGAAACTTTTAAGCCAAACTATAATGTGCAGCACTATTGGGGCTCCCCCAACACCGCACCCCCTAAATACAGGGAAATTTCCCTTCTTCACAAGAGCCGCCGTGTTCAGTGTTTAGTGATAGAGCTGCTTTTTAATTCTAGCTTAATTATAATGTCAAAAAAACCCAACAAAACTGTTGCATCCTTGTGATTTTAAAACACAAATGAAGGGCTCCGATAGGCTACTAGGAGTTGACTTGGAAACAGTCCTTGGTCTCACAGGTTACCATTGTCTAGGGATGTCTGAGCTGTTTTCAGATTTAGGAAGAGCACAGTGTGGTCTTGTCTTTGGTTGCGGTCTCACCCGGCTCCGTTTCTTGCACCCCCAGAGCGTGCATTACCACTTAAGTGTATTGCTACAACAGTGGAACAACAGTGATGCAAGACAGTGTAGATTAACAGTAGAGGAGAAATTGTGCCCTTAGTGATAACAATGTGCCTTTTGTTCTGAATGCCATGTTGTAGGGCATGCATTTTTTGGCCTCTTTAACTCTTTGAATACTAGATGGAACCCACCTCTGCAAAGATACATCTGTCTTAAACATCCAGTTACTTACAGGCCTTAATAGAAACCATAAGGCGCGCGTCATCGTCAGGCACCGAGAAAGGTAACCCCTCGTTAGTTACACAGGGAATTCCTATGTTTAAGGGGTTAAAGATGGTCTTTGTTGTATCTTAACATCAGACTGATTTTTTAAACGATATTTTTTTTTGTTATGCTAACACTAGACAAAAGTCAACTGTATTTGTAAAAATTTACCTCAAACCATTTAATTTTATAGTGTGATTAATCCCAGGGCATTTGGTATGAACCAAAGTGCATTCCTTTTATATGTGCCTGGCTCTAGTAAGGATGGCCAGGGATTTTTACAATTTGGGTGCAAGGCACTTAAGCCACTTTTAAACTTACTAGGTGGTTTGGAGTCATGTGGAAGGACTCCATCAGAATGTTAGGAAACACTTTAGGCATCAGTAGCATTGGGCCATATTGGAATCTTCAAAGTGTGAATTATTTTCAAGAGAGCATTCATTTTTGTAATTTTTTTCATCAAGAATATTCTGGTAAGCAGAAGACTTAAAAAAAAAAACTGATTAGGTTGGTAAAGGTTTTAATATTGCCCAACATAATGCTGTGGTAGCATTTAAAAAAAAAATAGTATTTGTGAACTCTGTTTCTTAGGGGCTTGTACATCTCTCTGCTATGGACATAGATAAAATTAATTGTAACTATACTCAGCTCAACTGCTACAGTGATGTCTAGGCAGTGGCTTGGGTTTCTATCGAGCAACAACTTAGACACGTGACTAATATGCTGCAACTGTGTGTACTGAAAATATGTGAAAATGGTTGAATGTGGACTGTGTATATATGTATGTAAAAATTTCTGTGGGATGCTGCTCTCGCCACTTAACATGAAATATGTTCTAGTGGATTTTAATCCTAGTGGCCAGTTCTATGATACTGTATGTATTGTACAGCTGATGACAGGAGTAAGACTGTTCAGTGAATATTTGTTAAATTTTATTGTCGTGGCCAGAGATAATTTCAGAATAAAATTGTAATGTCCTACCTTACTTTTCTCCCCTTTTCTAACTATAATTTTACTCCTGATCTATTTCTGGTATTAGTCTTGGTCTGGTAGCCTGGAGAGAGTTTAGAATACAAACATTTTTCAGCAATCACTGATTTTCTTTTATTAGTTCAATATAAATGTACAAATTCCAAGTCAGAAAGACTAAAGTTTTAATAGGTAACTCTTTCTTTTCTCAGGATATTCTGTTCTTCTACCTTTAGTATTTCTGTGTTAATTTTCCTTTATAGAGCCTCTGCTATGTTCTCTATCATATAGATCTAGTATCTTGCTAGAACTTCAAAAAAGCACTTTTTTTAACCTTCAAGTTGATAGTTAAGCTGTTGGAGCAGAGTCTAAATTATTTCCCACCAGCCTTCATTCTTTCCTGTACGCAAGTCCTGGTAAATTACTCTTCTGTGCTCTCACCAGCTCCCCCATATGCTTTTTAAGGCTTATGCTTTTGCAGTTCTCCTACTTGGTGGTCTCTTTGGTTCACATTTTTGGGAGTTTTAGTGGCTCCTCTAGTCATGGCTGGATCAGAAAATAAGGCCTGTGAACTGCAACTAGCTCATGATTTGTCAAGTTCAGTTAATACCAAGCTAAGAGTTTACTCACAGATGACAACAAGCAGATGCTCTGGAAATTTGTCAGACATGTGCAGGGATATTATGTAGACAAATATTTCCCACTTGTGGAAAGAACTACCTCACGTTTTTATTTACACCCCTCCTGCCACCAACAGTCAAGGAATTACTTATTGTGGCTTCCTGCAGCAGAAGTGGGATTTGCTAAAACAAGGGCGTACTGTAGGGGTTCCCAGTTCCAGACTTGGTTTTATCATAGCCCAGGTCATAGACTTTCATAATTGCTTCTCTCGCTTCTCAGAGTTCTTACCCAGTGAAAAAATACCAACCAACCGAGAAACCCAATATATTTAGATATAAATTTTTAAGAGATGTACATTATGTATAAGTTGAAAGTTGATGCTAAAGCAGCAATTTAAATTTAAAATATTGTCCAGATCTGGCAGACCAGATGATAGTTCCCCACTCATTCTCTATCACCAGATCTTCTCAAAGCTCTTTCTTAAATTGATGTATGTTACATTCTATTTGAATTTCTGTGCTCTTCCCTTTTGGAATAAATAACTACACAAATAAATATTCTTGGAACCTCAAAGTTGCCTTCAAACTAGCACTGGCAGATGTTCCTAGCTGGCATTGGTATTGGTCTTTTAGAGAAAAGGGAAATCAGTTTATTTTCTGTTTTGGAAAGAGAGCGTTGAGAGAGAGATTTGAAGAAAGGGTATTTGTGACTTTTCATTGTTGTTTTAAAAAAGTTTGAATTACACTGCGTTTCCTT